TAAGAATATCTAAGAAATATGACTGAGGCCGTTGAATGTTCGAAAAGTGTGAGTGCGAGATCGGCATGGGAGCGAAGCTTTAGATTTAGGTTCCTCGAGGGAACCGCTTCCGGACGATCTGCCAGGAGGTCTCAAAGAAGATCGAGGCTAAACGGTGCAGCACGTTAAGATATGAACGAAGTACATTATAACTCCAGAGAATTAAGGGGAAAGAATATTGTAAGTGCATGAATTTCCAGATGATTGGCGAACTAAATCTCTGATCCAATAATAATAAAGGAGAAGACGACACAAGATCAGAGAATTATTCGCAAAATCCCCAAATTAATCTTCTTTTCTTCTCTTTATTATCACGTCCCTTGCATTTATCGCGCGTGCACTCATTCACTCCGTTCTTCGTTTACCGCTCAAACGCCCTTTGAAGTGTATTAAATTTACTGTACTTTAAGGGGTCTTTACGCAATATTTTAACTAGTGAGCGAAGCGCCCATTAAAGATTCTTTATTTAGTAAGCCCCGGGCCTATATTCTCTTTATTATTACCGCCCGGGATAATTTAATACTAAAATCTCTAGTGAATAGAATTATTATCTGGGCGAGAATAGAATGCTTACAACTTGCTCCCTTCCACTGGCATAAACAGGGCAATTTGTTGCTGGCTGAGCAGTCGCAAGCATTTCCGGCCAGGGAACCTATTCCTTTTTGTTGGGACTTTGTTGGGGAAAGTGCCTTGAAAAAAGGGTTGTGCAGCGACGTGACGCCGGTTCACGCTATTGTAGAAGGGTTTTTACAGCACGCCACCCCTAGAATCCTTGGGAGAGTTTCATGATGGAGGAGCAGGACTTCGACACGAGAGAAAAGGCCAGAATGCTGACTCTGAGTGGCCTGATGACTACTTGGCGCGCGTCGCGGGAATGCGAGTCACATCATGAGGTGCGTGCAACTTGTCTTTTCAAGCTTTTCTGTCCTTTGGATTCTTTGCCTGTGCACCAGGTATGCTGACAGCATTCCTGGGCGATGTTTTCTTGATGGTGGGCAGGTTCACCGAGATCTGAACAGCGTTGGTTGCGATTTGGCGATGCGCTATCGAACTGTTCAATGACAAGCAGAACCTCAACCATCATTGAAATCAGGCCAGGAGAGCAGTGCATGCAAAGGAGGAGCGAAGTGAAATTTGGCCCGGTTTGAAGCAGAGACCGGGGAAGGTCTGTGGTGTTGTAAGTCTGAGCGCTTCGTCTCGATATTGCAGCGTCACCTTCGTGACAAGCGGTGGCTTGCAGAAGGTTACGAAGGAGAAGGTTTTCTCGGAACTGTTCCTGTTTGGAGACTGTGCGTCAAGAACTCTGCCAGAAAGACAGTATTGGAAAGCACGTTAATCACGCTGGAGCAACTGCATACGGCAAATACCAAGTGCTCATGACGAGGGCCTCTCCCTAGACAAACTGCATTAATGAAGCGAAGGGGAGTCTGCACAAAGCATGGTTACAAGAAAACCTAAGGTTCATTGTATGGTCCCTAAATTTGGTCTCTTACACTCCTTGGAGGGTTCTGAAGTGCTGCCCTTGGTTTGTTTACATGCAACTACCCTAAGAAAAAGGCTGGGGAGCATGATGTTCCGATGTTGCTTTCCGATATGACGAAGCCAATGGCATTTACAACATTCGCGTCTATGGGAATGCGTAATCGAAATCTTGGTTTCACCCTTTTCACAAGAGGCACGCTGGCTTGGTGCTATGGAGCCTTGCGCCTCCGTTGCGCTGGCAAACTCGACTTTAAAGATGTTCAGGGGAGGCCTCAAGGGGACAAGGATCAATAAACAAATGGGGATTAGCAAATCAAATAGGGATCGGTACAGTACACTAAATGTAGACCAACAAAAGGTCAAAAATCCTTCTTGAAGGAAGAAAATCCTTCTTGGTGGAAGACAAAGGAAAAGAAAAAAAGAAAGAAAATGAAAGGAATGGAAGGACAAGGAAGGACGGACAGGGCACGGACGGAAGCATGGCTTGTCGCAGACTATGAACATAGTACAGTACAACATTTCTGCCCATTCAAAGGCTGCAAATATGCTGCTTCGTCACAACGCTTCTGCCATCTTCTGCGGATTTTATACCTTTTCACACGCTTCAAAACACGGCAATATTGTTTGGCTTTGGCTTGGCTTTATCATGGGACCGTGGATGGGGGGGGGGGGGGGGGACGCGCACCCACAAACCCCCGCATAAACCTCCAACCAAAAAGCGCTTGGGCGCCCGCTGCACATGTCTGTGGGCGCCGTGGACCTGGCAAGGGCCACAACAGGCCAGGCTCCGCAGTGGCCATAAGAACACAAATGTGTCCAGGGTGAGGGTGTGGAATGGTGTGGAGAGCTTAGCGGCTTTGCGTGCAGGAGATGTCGTTGACTTGCTTGGAATTCTCCCTGTGAGACCTGCCCCGAACCGCTTGGAGGCTGCGGGGCTGTGGGCCGATGCCCTAAAAGAAACAACCTTGTCTGGGATTCAGACCCGCCGTCACTCACCTGGGACTCGTGTAACCACCTTAAACCTCCTGAAGCCCTCCTAGCTCCTGAAGTCATGACGTGCGTATCGCATTCGGGCATTCGGCATACGCAAGAAACGCTTTGAGTTTCTGAAAAGCTACGTGGGCTGCCTCAACATTCTCCAAACTTGGCACTGCCAGGGATACCACATGATACCACCGCAAACCGATCCGGGATGCCTCACGGATGCCTGCCACTAAAGTTTCGAATCACCCACACCCGGCCAGGCGCCACAACCAGGCACCACAACCAGAGCGCTCTCAAACTTCTGCGCATTCTGCATATCGGGCAGTGTCGGTGATGTTAGATGTCACTTCCAACATCCATGCGGCGCAGGCCAATTCTGGATGTTATCCACCATGCACCGTCAATCCACCATACCTCCCTTTGCATCGGCCTGTGACACTTGCCATTCCAGAACCCCGAAAACGACACTAAAACAAAGTTCGGGAGCATGGTGGCAACATGCCCAAGAAGCATGGCCCCTGTCATCGACAGCTGCGCCTTGCATGGGCGACGGCAAGGCTTCCCTTCGACTCAGCTTCGAAGCTTGCATTGCAACTATGCAAATTCATCCCATCCTCGTGCTCTATGATGGCGATGACTTTGGGACTGCCCCTTCACGTACCTGCACAGGACCAGTGAAATACATCAAAAGCATGCAACCTTCCTCACTTTATGTCACCGTCTCCAACGAAACAAACAGCTGGACAGAACCCGAAAGGGCGCAAGTCATCTAAATCACCGTCGTCACCACTCTGGTCCGCAGTTGGCATCTGGCACACTGCGCGCATAACTTGGGATGCTGCAAGCAAGGATTTGAATTCCAAAAATTTTCAATCTCTGCCAAACCGACGCTGACACCCGTGCTGTCGACAGAGTGGCGACCTGAAGCAAATCGACGGCGCTCCATGAAAGCCAGATAAAACTAAACCATAAGCGCGATTGAGATTGCATGACAGAGGAGATGCCATTGAGGATGGCAGGCAGCGAGTCTGTTGCAAACACAACAAACTGGAAGGATCCTAGGAAGGATGCTCACTGGTCCAAGTCTCCCACGAAGCAGCCGACTTGAGGACCTATCAGAACAAAACCTTTGATGGCACATCCGAAGCACACAATCTGAACGAATTCGCCTCGCCTCTCGTGGTTCTGGTGGTCAGACACATGCCGCCGTCCTTGGTGACGATCCAAGACCACGCCCCACTTCCCCTCTCCACCTCCTTCCACCCACTTCCCCCCCCTCCTTCCCCCTGAAACACCTTCATTTCACTGAACGAAACCTTCTTCAAAATTTAACTGACAAACTTCATTTCACTGAACGACACCTTCTTCAATTTTTAACTCACAAAACTAAACTTGAGTTCAATTTCACCACATTTTCGGGGCTGAGGGGGGCTACTTGGTTTGGGCGGGATCGGGAAGGGGGGTGGGGGCGGGCTGGGGTTAGGGGGGGGGGGGGCGGTCAGGAGGGGAGGCAGTGCACCACACAGCTACCACGCTCCCGACATGCAAGCTCCGGACCATCCAGGTGCCTTGCCGGTGCCGCTTTTTCCTTCAAAAAGTAGCCAACATTGGGCCCTGCTTCATGCAAGTCTTCGTGTCGCGCTTGCACTGATGGCCTGAGCAGCTCCAGAGAAAGCGCCCTGAAGCGCAGTATGGACCTGACCGGCAGCACTTGTAAATTGCGGACCTCACTGCAGATCCTTCTGCAGCCAACACATCACCAAGAATCTGGCAAGTATACACGTGAGGAATCGCCTCATCGACCTCTGCCAGGCAAAGTTTAATTGACGGCAGCTCCAGCAGTCATACTGAGATATACTCCTAGCATTCTGGCAGCGATTCTCCGAGCCAGCTGCCTCATGTGCGAGACCTAAGCAAAGCCCGCATAGGCTACCTGCAGTTCACGCAACGCATCCTGAGAGAAGGTCAACCCCTGGCAAAATATTGTGAATACACATTCCGGGACAGCACAAGCTCGCATGTATTGCAGTCTGCTAGCACTTTCAAACCTGACTCGCGACGCCCTCTGAACTTGTCCACCGAGGCACGTATGGAAACAGGTGTTGTGCAGTTGACAAACCTAGCTGCCTACAAGGCTGAGCCGAAGGGCCTCGACAGCGGCCCCTTGGGCCAGCGCTGGGACGGACGAGCGCCAAAACATGCCAAAAGTGCCATGAAACACCATGCCATGCACCCATGTCCCTGCCAACATAAGCTTGAAATCCTCCTTCGGATGCTGCCAGATTCGTTGTAGCTACCTCTCTTGAACGTACGTCTAGTTATAGTTACATTCATCCTTCCTGGACAATACATCCCGAAGTCCTGAAGGCCCCAGCCGTTCCTTCCATGCCTGGAGATCCAAGGTAGGGACGAGCTGCCTCTGTCCCCCATGGTCATCCTGAAGGGAATGTAGCTTCATGCAGTTCAACCAACGGCTTAACGTGTCTTAACGTAGCTTAACGTGGCTTAACGTAATTGGGCATTTTTGGGAGCTTGGACGTCTGATAAAAGGACGGAACTGAGCGACAAAACTTGTCCCACAGGTTGAGAAGGAAAGGATGGCTGTAGGATGGCTGTAGATGTTTGGCTGCGGATGGCTCTGCCAACACTGCCTCGCCCTCGTCGCTGGTGAAGCCATCCTTGAGGGACTTCATGCCGTTCCCATTGCCTTGCTGCTGACTTCTGCGCGAAGAACTGTATTTGTTTGGCATATGGCAGATTGGTGTCGTACTCCAACACAGACAGAAGCGATCTGAGTTAGTTTCTAAGGCAGCCGACTGGGTGCATGCGAGTCCTGCAACATTCACAAGAAGCTGACTGATGCCCACGTGCTTTCCATGTCTGAAGATGGCTCGGGACATTACCTTCCAAGACCAAGGTTGATAGGAGAAGTTATCGCACCGTTCGCACCTCAAGCTCCTGGCGGAGGTCTGCCAATTTTGACCTGGCAGCAGCTTGGAGTTCGGCGACCCTCGGTGGCCCCCTAAAGCCCTATAAGGTGCACTGGGTGGCGGACGCCAACTCGTGCAGACTCGTCCTCCAGCTCCCGCAAAGCTCCTTCAAATTCAGCAGGACAACAGGACCAAACGTTGCAATTACTGCATGCGCGCCATTTTCCAAAATATCAAGTGGAAGCAAAAAGCACCTGGTCGAGAGCTGCCAGGGACCGCCGCGCCATCTCTGCCCAGTCCCGAGTCAGGAAAGCGATGCCGGTTGCAGTGTCTGCTTGATCTACAAGTTGGGCTGCCAGCTGGCCACTGAGCACGGCCCAGCGACGCGCGCCACCTAGGAGGTGGTTCCACCAAATGCTACCCGCAATCATGGAGTAGAGGAAGAGGGCGATCCACAACGAGCTGATCGATGCGAAGGGAAGCGTTGGAGCACCAGCAAACTGCAGCAGTGGCAACAAAAGCCCGAAGCCGGTGAGACTCATGGTACACCATGAGGCCCAACGTACTGCATCAATAGAAGTTGCAATAGGGATCAGCAAGATGGCCAAGCCTGCATAGCCCATCCAAGGCTTCCAAAACTGTGTGTGGCCCATGTGGACTTGCATCCTAGAGCTCCAAGGGCTCCAAGGGCTCCAAGAGCTCCAACGTGCACGCCGCATCTCTGCCAAGGCGAGGAGACGCTTGGCCTGCTCGCTTTGGGACCAGCTAAGGAGCTCTGCGACTCGTACTGACGGAGGCGGCTCTCGAGGGTTCTGAAGCACGGCCTCCCGACGATACACCCACATCTTCTCCTGAGCCACGTCAGCCACATTGCCGAGCGTTCGCCGCAAGTCCTGCGGAGAAGCTGAGAAGCCAGCGAACGTCTCAGTCAAACACACGAGACACGAAGAGAGGAAGAAAAGGTCTTTCTTTTGCCAAGCTTCGGTCTGCTGTGGTGGCAAAAGACGATGCGCTCTAAGCAAGGCGCTGGCCGCGGCCGTTGCATCCCCTGCCGCCAAGGCTGCAACCCGGTCCTCAAAAGAATCATAGAACATCGTATATATGCTGCGACGGGGCTCAGACTAAGCTCTATCTCGAGTACAGTACCCACTAAGACGCTGCTTTGATACATGATTAGGGTTGCACTGTGCCCAAATAATTGAGTGAGCACAAAGGAAGCTAAAACAAGATATGGTGCCACATCAAAAAGCATGGCAAGAGTCCAAAGTCAACACATACGACCTTCCCCTGGAACCACTGAGCAGCCTGGCCAGGCCCAGTATTAGTGCATCTCTGGCGAGACCATTCAATGGCTTAGGCCTTGCGGTCGCCCTCAAGTGCAGATTCGGAGGCGCATTTCTGTGTTTCAGAGCATGTTCGATTTCCTTGCTGTTGACTGCCAGACCAGCGAACATGGGCGGCTGTAGTGGACCTGGAACAAGCCGACGCAGAATCATGCCCAGAGCTTCAAATTCAGATGTCGTTCCCGTCTGTGAATACGAACGCTTCCAGGACCACTGTGGCCGACCTCTCAGCATGTTTCTTATCCAGGTCGGCGCCCCAGCTAGGGCTTGATTGGGTTCAGTTGCTCGGCGGAACGTGTCATAGGCACGAGCGGCCAGGAATCCAAAGGTCAATGGCTCAGCGAGCTCTTGCGGAAGGAGGGCTGGCAGGCGTTTCATGACCAACTGGCCAATCTCAAAACCCATCAGTGCCTTGATCTCCTTCGCACCATACTCTTTGAGCAAGCTCATCTGGACCACCTGTATTCCAGTTGGACAGCTATCGAGATTTAATTCTGTAACAAGGTGTTTGAAATAGACATGCTGAGAAGAATGTTGAAGTAGAACAAAGCTGCCAGTGCATCTCGCTCCCCCGGCATCAAAAACATCCAGATGGGTGCAGAGCGCTTGCTGCGCGGCGTCAGGCGGCTTGGTGGCCAACCCTGGTCGATCCAGAGCTGTGGGCAGCGCGGGGACCGGGACAAACGTCTGCGCGTTTGAGATCCCATGTCCGAGAGGCCCAAGACTCTGCACACTTCCTGTGATGTCACATCTTGGTGGAAGTGGCAAAACCTAACCATACTGATAAAGGTAATGATTGACAAAATGTGAGAAGGGACCTGTATCGAAGTCAAGGGAGGTAAGGGACCAGGCACAGTCAAACAAAGATCTAGGAAGATGCACAGGAATAAACATCTTGACATGTCCTAAACTTCCCAAACCTCGTCTTTCTCAACCCTCAACCGAGGCCTCCAGCCAGGCATGCAGCTTCAAATGTGAAGTTCCACCTGGAAATGGGAGTTGCGCAGAGCTATGGTGTGAAAGCAAACTCCGAGAATGACAGCGGCACGGCCCCCGCCTTCACTTTTGACCAGCCCGCTTCCCCGAAGCGTTTTCTCTGAGCGGAAGAGAACCCAGGGAGAAGTGCCAGCTTGGAACGGCAAGCACCCGGCAAAAGGTCTGATGAAGAAGTCCCCTGCGCTCTGAGTTTCATAATACTTCCATACTTCCAGGGAGCTTTACAGCAAAAACATCAGTTAGCCGAGCCCCTGAGCTGAATTTATGGCCAGACACCTACTCTCTGCCACCAATGCGGCAACTCGCATTGGAATTCATCCAACGCAGCATCGGCCAAAACTCCTTCTGCTTTGCGTAGACTTCCAAGACCAGCGTCCCCTGTGGGGAAAATCCCAACACGTTTCATGACGAAAGAAAACACATCGAAAGCCGACTCTATAACATGTGCTGCCAATACTTCTCGTGGCAGGGAAGTATCTCATTCCTGTTTGTGCATCGTCCGACCTCCACTACCAACAACCGAGCTTGCTAAGCTCCCGTGCAGACCGACGTTGCACCACCACCACAACGCGCCCAATAATGCCAGTGAACATGAAACACGGCGAAAGCGCAAGCTTCCATGGGCGCACATTGCATTTGGTGGCAAAGCTGCTGGCAAACGTGTGCACGGTTGATACTCAATGTTGATGACCTTTCGTCTTCAACGCAGGATGTGATGAGAACGTGGCAGCATGGCCAATGAACATGTCATAAAATGTCATTTGCATCCCAAGCCTCAGCCAAAATATTCCCGTGTCCCGTCAACGCCCCAGTTGGGAATATGCCTGAAGGTTAAGCATGAACACGTTCGAGATCATGAGTGACAGCAAGCAATCGGCCCCATGTGCATGAGGAAAATCAAAACACAACGAGTTGACACACCTGACCTGCTTGGTAGGCGCCTTTCTCTGCGTGAAGCGCTTCGGGGCAGGGCTGAACAAACGTCCAAGCGTGGTAGCCAAACCACATAAGGCCCACGCTTTTTCGTGGCACTTGGTAACTTTGTGGCTGAAAACCCGTTGTTAAGAACGGCGGCGACAAGCTTTTAATGAGAGTTCCTTATTTTGACGTTTCACACGGGCCGCATCAAAACATTTGCGCCACGTGTGGCAACAATGGCAATGCTTACAAAACCTCAAGTCCCAGCCACGTCTTCTGCCACAAAGAAGGACGAGGAACCTCACGAGCCGAGGCATGCAGGATGCGGCATTGCAAAAAAAACTGTACTGAAAAATCGAAGCATGTTGGGGGCAGTCGGGTAATGTATACAAGTTCATCACCCCACCTGAGATTATCAGAAAAATCCGTGCGTGTCACGTTGCACTTTTTGCACTCTCTGCGCTACCTGCGTTGCAGCTGGTGACTGCCATCTCCGATCACCATGATTACGAAACACGGTTTCACGCAAAGTCTCGGGAGTGTTGGCACAAACTCACTTTCACCTTGGCCGAATCCAAAAGCTTAGTACGTAAGCCTAATGACTTCCGGGCAGTTCGGCAATTGGAAATGTAGACATTCGGATGCTATTCGAATCCATTTAAAATTCCTTAAGCCGAAAAAAAGATTCAAAATCGTCTTATTATGTCAATGAAATTCTAGAAATTCCTTCGAACACATTGATGCAACGAATTTCTTGCCGGAGATTGGAAATTCTGGCTGTAAAGATATTGATTGAAAGACACGAAAATATTTGCCAACAAAAAATGAAAACACCCTTGAATAGATCGGCAAGTCGCCGTGCTTGCCCAGCACAAGCACAGCACAAGCACGGGAACCATCATCTCCGCTTCCCAATCGAAGGGCCACGCGAGGGCTGGCCTGTCTGGATGTCCGTGCCGTCTTTTTCCTGCGCTTCGCTGACTTTGCCAAGTGCTCTACCCAAGCGGAGAACACGGTATGGGACTGGGTCATCCCAGCGGAAATAGGCAGCAGGCCTTAAAGTCTAGGAGCCTGGACATTTCATGTCCCTTTGGGTGAAGTCCAGCAGATGTTTGTCTGTGGTCCCCGCTAACAGGACGAGGAACGCTCCGTCTGGTGTGGCAACGGTGCCTGGGCATCCTACTTGCTGAGCCGAAAGTAAGGCACTTGGGGTTGCATTTTACGTTGGACCTGCCTTCCTGAGCCTCTTGAGGTTATAAAAGACCGATTTGCTGCTGTATGGTCTGGCCTGGCCAGAGGACGTGAGGTTTCGTAGGAGGACCTCCCAACCTGCACCTGTTGGAGGAGGTCGACATGCCTCCTATATGGGGCCACGAGGGAGAGAAGCTTGTCTGCCCAGTTGATCTTCAAGGCCCTGTCCATCTTCTGTTGCTTTATCGGAAGGCCTTCCTGATTGACCTCTTCAGCGACGGGTCAAACCCCGGAGGCTGGGATTGCATCACTTCCGGACCAACCATGCACATCCGTGCGTGCAGCTTTTGCGCAGAAGGCGAAACCCTCAGTTCCATCAAGCTCGAAAAACGGCTTGAGAAACTTGAGGCCACCCACAGCCCAGGCAAATCCCGTTTTGAGGATGGCCGCCATGAAGGGTTTTCCACCCCATCCCAGACTAGATGTTGTGGGCTGTGTGGCGAAGCCCCTGGATCCTTGATCGGCGAGAAGGAGGAGTGGCCAGGGTCGTCCTCTTCCATGCCAAGGTCAGAGAACGCCGCCGTGATGTCCTCCAACACCGTAGGGTCCTCCTCAGCCTCCGGGGGAGGAAGTGGTCCCTTTTCGAGGTGTAACTTGGAAACTTCTTTCCAGATCGAGGTGACGACCTGGCGGTGCTCCCGCGTGTACACATCCGCCATGTTGCCATGTTCTCACCTTGCCAGCGACCCTGGTATCGCCTTTGGTCTCCGGAGATCCCATGCTGGAAGGCCAGATTTGGCATGAACACCCTGAAGGAAGAAAGCGTGATGGCATCCAACTGTTCTTTCGGAATCCCCAGACCCCTGTCCGACAAAAGGCTCCTGAGCCAGCGAGGTGTCCGTGAATTCCCGCAGGGGTGTTGCATGAGCCTGAGTCTGTATCTGTCCGGCGCAGGCAGGAGCAAACGGCTGCAGGGAACCCTCCACGAGTGGCTTCCACCAGCCTTGAGAAGCTGATCAAAGGAGCAATGAGCGGCTGAGGCCTAAGGCCTAAGGCAGCGAACTGCAAAGTATCAGGCCTTGTACGCATCGTGTCCGAGAATCGAGCAGAACAGCCGATGCAGAAGCGGAAGAAGGAAGCGGCAAAGGCGTCCGCAGGCCAACTTTTCCAAGGCCGAGACCACCTGGACCGAAGGTCGTGTTGCCCGTCTTTCCTTTTTTGACTCCGAAGAGATAAGCATGCTTTGGACAAACTCGTAGTGCACGCAAAGCATCTGATCCGACTGGGGGTTGAAACCCCCGAAGTGCTCCGACAGCCAGCGGGTAGTCCGCCAAAATTGCGAAAATTTGTAAGCCGGCAGGCGCTCCGCCGATGACCTGTCCAACCAGAAGCAACACTTTTCGCCCCACCAGCTCCCTTCATGTGCGTGATTGGTTACTTGCTCGCCTTCTCCATCAGGGTCATGGAGCCGCCGGATTGCTTTCTGGATCCCACCACGGAGGAAGACCCCCAATACCTCCAGTTCCCACAAAGAAGCGGGAGCATGGTGTCGACCGGACGACCGGACCGTGACCGGGCCCCCCCCGGTCGCCCGGTCACCCGTTTGGTCCGGTCACCCGGTCAGCCCGGTCGTCCGTTCAGTCCGGTCACCCGGTCAGGGCAAGTGGACCTTGACTGAGGACAAGAAGGGACTGACCCGACCGGACAACCTGGCTGGCCTGACCGGACAACCGGGCCGACCTGACCGTGACCGGGTGAACGGGCTGACCGGCTGGCTGACCGACCTGACCTGACCGGCTGGCCGGACTGACCCGACCGACCTGACCGGGCTGACCGATCCAAGCGACCGGACTGACCTGACCGGGCTGACCTGACCGAACTGACCGACCTGACCAGACTGACCTGACTGGGCTGACCTGACCGGGCTGACCTGACCGAACTGACCGACCTGACCGCTGACCGGGCTGACCTGACCGAACTGACCGACCTGACCGGGCGACCGGACCGACCTGACCAGGCTGACCTGACCGGGCTGACCTGACCGAACTGACCGACCTGACCGGGCGACCGGGCCGACCTCACCAGACTGACCTGACCGGGCTGACCTGACCGAACTGACCGACCTGACCGGGGTACCAGAGTTAGTACTAATCTTCTTTATTTGCCAACGCCGTCATTCCAGACCTTCGTTTTCCTTTTCGTCATAAGGCGGCACCGTGGTCTTTGCAGCATTCGCTGTTCCTGGATGAAGGAATATTGACAGCCACCCAAATGTTTTCCTACTTAATTGCAAAGAGAATAGATGTTTCCCTATTAAATCCAAAGAAAACAAAGGTTTTGCTATTGAAATCCCAGAGCGAATAGAGATTTTCCCTGAAATTTCCGAGAAGATAGATTTCCCTCATAAAGTGCAAAGGACAACAACGACAACAACGACAACAACGACGACAACGACAACAACGACGACAACGACAACAACGACGACAACGACGACAACGACGACGACAACAACGACAACGACAACGACAACGTTGCAAAGAGAATAGATGTTTCCTCATTAAATCCGAAGAAAACAAAGGTTTTGCTATTGACATCCCAAAGCGAATAGAGATTTTCCCTGACATTTCCGAGAAGATAGATTTCCCTCACAAAGTGCAAAGGAAATGAATATTCTATGTTAAAATACAAAGAAATGAGTGATTTCAGACTTTTGCGAATCTATGAAAAAAGCCTATATTTTCGTCCGAAACGGGCTTCGCACAAAAGCTGGCAGCGAGGCGGCGGCTCCGGAGCGCATACATATTAAAGAACCTATCGTGCTAGAATGGTGTTTGCAACTGGGGGGGGGCTGCGCCCCCCCCCAACCCCCCCGCTTTTTCATAACCTATCGTGCGAAACTTCCTCCTACTACTACTACTACTGCTACTACTTCTTCTTCTACTACTACTACTACTACTACTACTACTACTACTACTACTACTACTGCTACTGCGACTGCTACTGCTACTGCGACTGCGACTGCTACTGCTACTGCTACTGCTGCTGCTGCTACTACTGCTAGTACTGCTACTATTGCTAGTACGACGACGACGACATGTTTTTGTCTTTTTTTTTGGGAATGATACCGCGGTTTCTGGGTACTCTTTTCTCCTGCATCTCAAGGCATGCTCACGTACCGTTTTTATTTGATTTTATACTACACGGGCCCCAAAAATTGGCCAATTTTTGCGATTTTTTTACTATGTCTGCGGTAGGATTTTTTGTGCAGATTTTGAGTTTTTGCTGATTCTAAGCTAAAAAAGTACAGAGTCAGCGTGATTTCAGACTTTTGCGAATCTATGAAAAAAGCCTATATTTTCGTCCGAAACGGGCTTCGCACAAAAGCTGGCAGCGAGGCGGCGGCTCCGGAGCGCATACATATTAAAGAACCTATCGTGCGAGAATGGTGTTTGCAAATGGGGGGGGCTGCGCCCCCCCCAACCCCCCCGCTTTTTCATAACCTATCGTGCGAAACTTCCTCCTACTACTACAACTACTACTACTACTACTACTACTACTACTACTACTACTAACTACTACTACTAACTACTACTACTAACTACTACTACTTCTACTACTACTACTACTACTACTACTACTACTACTACTACTACTACTACTACTACTACTACTACTACTACTACTGCTACTGCTACTGCTACTGCTACTGCTACTGCTACTGCTACTGCTACTGCTACTGCTACTGCTACTGCTACTGCTGCTGCTGCTACTACGGCTAGTACTGCTACTATTGCTAGTACGACGACGACAACGATGACGACTATACTACTACAAACATTTCTATAAACCTATCGTGCGAGAATGGTGTTTGCAAATGGGGGGGGCTGCGCCCCCCCCAACCCCCCCGCTTTTAAATAACCTATCGTGCGAAAATGATGTTTGCAAATGGGGGCGGCTGCGCCTCCCCAACCCCCCCTCTTTTTTTGAAGCCGCACAAGCTTGCTTCAAAGCATACACATGCAGCCCCCCCAACCCCCCGGCTTGCCTTTGACGGAAAAAAACCCTAAGTCTCCTTGGTACGTTAATATCAGGGAAAATCTCTATTCGCTTTGGGATTTTCAATAGCAAAACCTTTGCTTTCTTTGGATTTAATCGGGAAACATCTATTCTCTTTGCGACCCCCCGCTTGCCTTTGACTGAAAGAACCTAAGTCTCCTTGGTACGTTAATAGGAATCCTTTCATTTCTTTGTATTTTAAAATAAAATTCATTTCCTTTGCACTTTGTGAGGGAAATCTATCTTCTCGGAAATGTCAGGGAAAATCTCTATTCGCTTTGGGATTTCAATAGCAAAACCTTTGTTTTCTTTGGATTTAATAAGGAAACATCTATTCTCTTTGCAACGTTGTCGTTGTCGTTGTTGTCGTTGTCGTTGTTGTCGTCGTCGTTGTCGTCGTTGTCATCGTTGTTGTCGTTGTCTGTGAAAAGCAGAGCTCGCGCAGCAGTCTCTTTTTCACTTTGCACTTGAGCCAAACACCAAAGTGTTCAGCAAGCTTCAGTTCTTGCAGCAAGCTCTCTCCAAGAGCTAAGGGCTCCAAAAAGCTACGAATTCCGTCTCAACTTTGTTCTACAAAGGAGGTAAAGCAAAAGAACAATGCAACTGCTTTGGTCTACACCTCGGGGACTTCAGGTCACTTCCGAACAGCAAAACAGCGAAGCTTCAGAGTCCACTCTGCACTCCTACTCCCATCCTACACGTCCAACGGCAACGAACGAAGTGGCGGGGACACGGAGTGAGTTACAGCAAGACAGAACCTCAGAGTTCTGACACGCACTTCTTCACTACTGCTCTCAAGCAGTTCCAAGTGCCTCAAAACTCATCCTAGGCCATGCCAACAAGACAAGACATGCGTCGCAGTCAACCCAAACATGCTTTAGGGACTTTGGGCAAAACCAAACATGCTCATGCCAAGTCATGCAGCAGAAAAACTCTCATCTTCTCTCTGTACAGTCAAACACCACATGGCACCAACTGGGCAAACACTACAGGTGAATTTTTCTTTCGTCTGCACGCTGCGAGGCGTAGCCACCCGAAGGGGCTGTGGGTTCAAGTGAAACAAAAGCTTACTAAACCTGTGGGGTGAAACTGCCGGTAAGTTCCCCCTCTCATTCCTTGTCCTCGGTTTTGACGTACCGCTACCCTCAACCGAAGTGAGGCCGGAATGTCGTTTTGACCAAGTCGTTGCCATTGGCTTGAAGACTTTGGCCAAGGCAAATTGCCTGTATGCTTGCACATTCTCTGTGTTGTCTATTCGGGAGGTGATCCATGCCCTCGTTCGTGGAGGCCGCTATCCCTCAACCGAATGGAGGTCATTCCTGTAGACCCAGATGCTCGTTCTACGAGTCTCATTGCATGTCCTGAGTGCTTCCATCCACACCCCTCAACCGTAGTGAGGCCGGACATGTCTTCACACCAGGTCATGGCCCGAGGCTTCATGGACTCTGGTTACGGTGGCTGCCTCTTGCATGCACAGGGCATACTTCCTGTGGCTTTTGCCGGGAGGTGATCCATGCCCTCCGATTCTCAGAGGCCGCTATCCCTCTACCAGCGGGGTGGTCAATCCCCATAGACCGTTCCATATTGATTGAGGCCCAATTCTGCACTTTCTCGTCATCTCACCTTGACGGATCCATGCCCTCGATTCACACATCTCCAACACGAGCCAAGCAGGAGGAACAGGTGAAGTACCTGCCCAAACATACCCCTTCTTAGGCTGGAGGACGCTAAGCGACCGAAATCGCCGCTACGCACCGGTGACCCCACGCCACACACCTTCAACAGGTGGCCGGTACAGGCGCCTGACAGGGGGCCGGGCAAGGTGCCGACTACCAGGTCAAACCCACCCTGCCTGTGAGGATATATGTACGAGGCCGCTATCCATTGTGAGACTTGACATTCTCCAATCCAGCCGTAGCCATTGTTCCAAAGACAGTCGGCTGGCTCTCTTGTTTGCCACCAAAACTCCATACTCTCACTTGGGAGTCGATTAGGCTCAACCGAAGTGAGGCCCACTCTGCGACCACGGGTTAGCTGCATGCTTGGTCCTTGTGGGCATTTCTGAAAGCAGTGACAACGAATCCTCCACGGAGTACGTCCCGGCTAATCCAGGGTTCTCAGCAGCTCCGGTGTTCTCGCACTTACTAACCGTGCCTTGCTGTTCTCCCCAGAATCGCCCTGGCTTTCTCGCACTTACTTACCAGTCGACGTATTCCTCACCACAAAGTTCACTGCCATTGGGACTCGAGGCTTCTCCAGTGCATGCTGGTACCTGCCCTTTGCTGGCCTCCATGCCTGGCCAGTGTCCCTCATCCATATTCTGGAGTTTGCTCTTTATAGCTCACATTCCCTCAGACCAAAGTCGAGGCCGAATGTTGCATTGTTTGATTGAGCACTGCTGGGCTGCGGTTGTACCTATCAATTGCTCCGACACACCGGCACCGCGGAGTCTATGCTTCAAGCTGCTTTACCGCTTTGCGCCCAGTAGCATCAGCCGTCCAAGCTGCATGCAGTGCTTCCAGAGTCTCCCAGACTCAATTCCGGCAGACCAATAAGTGCCCGGCCTGCCCATTCCATCATTCTTCCCTCAGCTGATGCGAGGCCGGAACATCATGCACCTTCTTCATCAGCGAGGCGATTTCGCAACCCTTCTGTTGTTCCCTCAGCCTTGGCGAGGCCGAACCATCCATTCCCTCAGCCGAGGCGAGGCCGAACCTTTACTCCAGCATAGCGAGGCCGAAACTGCCCCTGCATAGCCTCACATGGCATCTCCGCTGGTTTCACGGGTTCTGAAAGCATTGTGCTGCGAGGGTATGTTGATCACCCTCATTCCGGCAAGCTAAGCCTGCATTCGGGTTTGCCCTCACATGGCCCTTAATGGCGAGGCTGTGCTCGCAATTCAATCCACTTCCACTTGCCTGGTTACTGGCCGGCGACGTTTCATCACCTCAAAGGAGCATCCATTCCTCATCATCTTCCGACAAGGCCAGCATCCTTCTCGACACATCAGGGCCATACACCACAATCACCAGCCTACCCAGGTACCTGATTTCACGTCCGCTGCCATCAATCATCAGGGATGGGTTTGTGGGATCGACATAGAAATCGATGTTCCAAAGCCTCGCATCCTCACAGCATCGGAAATCCCGGAGCTGCAGGTGGAGGTTAGCTGCATTCAGGCTTCTTTGGACATTCCAATTCCCACAGCTGCCCCAGGCTATGTTGCCTCTCCTGGTGCGACGGACAAAGTGGATACGATATGACTGCGACAGTTCCAGGAAAAGCCCTTCACGACGCTCCTGGTGTGACCATGCAAATACACAGCACGCAATTGCCGGCATGGTCCGTCGCTCTCCGTCTGCATTGCAGCAAGTCTCTTTGGCGTGTGGCACACTGTCCAGGGCACTGTGGACGGCCACTCTGGTCGCCGATAGCTCACGAGCGGAAATCTGCGGTTGAGACGGGGCCCTGTTCCAACAAAGGAAGTTAAGGCCTCGGAACCCTCTTCGCTCGCACAGGTCTGCTATCTTCTTGCACCTCAGTTCCAGGAGGTGTTTCCCTCAACCGTGGTGAGGCCGAACTATGTTGTCCCTCCGAGCGAGGCCGAAGACTTTCCACAATCCTCAGCTTATGCGAGGCCGACAACACCCTCAGCAGCGAGGTCGAAAGTTCCCTCAGCACTCGGCGAGGCCGTACACAGGCAGCTATGTGGCTGGCAGAACTACCGAGCAAACACAGTGGTTTCGGTTTGAGTCCTGTTGGAGCCCACCCTTAGGTACAGCCTCCAGGCCACCGATCCGCTCACTACCTGCGCACCCCACCGGGGTTGAGCCGAGACTTGAGCCAGGTGAATTTTACGTCTGCACGCTGCGAGGCGTAGCCACCCGAAGGGGCTGTGGGTGCAAGTGAAACTTACAAACTCTGCACAGTGAGACTACCGGTACTAGCCCTCACTTCCCTCAGACATTTGTCGAGGCCGAAATCCATTCCCTCAGACCGTGGTCGAGGCCGAAATTCCCTCAGGTTATGCCGAGGCCGAATTTCCCTCACTTGCACCCCTCAGACCGGAGTCGAGGCCGAAACTCCCTCAGGCAGCACGCCGAGGCGGTATTCCTTGATTCGGTTTGGGTGCCTCTCAGACCACTAGCCATGTTTCTTGTCTGGGCTGCGCTGCTCACTCATCAGCTTCGTCATCTGGCATGCCCAACGTGATTTTCTGGATCTCTGTTGCCGGGACCGGAAGTAGGGTTCCATCCCATCCTCGTTTTGCAATCCCGGCATCCAGTAGGTGCTGGGCAAAAGGCCCGACATTGCCTACGCACGCCATCCAAAGCGCGCTGGCTTTGCCGTCGTACGTTCTGACCAATCCACGTATGGTTGCCAGTAGCTCCTCGTCATATTTCTCCAGGAGGCGTACGAGGCCGCTTGATAACTTGTATCTCTCCTCCTGCAGCGTCGACCACTCTGCCGTGTCAAAGAACACTGCCCGTGGTAGCGATCCTGACATCGGGTCGCGCCCAACGTTGCTTACCGTGATATCCGATAGAGCAACTCCTTGCGTGGTCAGCCATGACGTTATAGCCACCAGGTAAAACAGGGACTGTCTGAGGACCCCGGCTTCTTGGCGATGTTCCTGCCACCATGTGTTGAACAGCTCTGCCCTGCGGATGATACTTCCATAGAAGTAGTGGTGGCAGTACCCCTCCACCGCCTCGTCGAAAAGGACTCCGATCCATCCTGCCCACAGGGTCCTGGTGACCAGGGTGGGGAATTGTTCCCCGTACCCTGCTTCGTTGCCAAAGCTCTGGGGTTCCATCGCTAGTTTCATGACCCATAGCCGATCCAGAGCATATCCTCGTCGAGTGCGCCCCGCACCTATAAAGGGAAGCACCCTAGGCTGTAAGCTTTGCCCTGTCGTTGGGTTGCGGACCAATTGGACCTCCCCGAGGCCGCACTGTCTTCTCCTCTCTCCCGTAGGCGTACCGGACCCACCGGAGATTCTGAAGCACTCTCCTCATCCCTATCCCAAGTCTGCTCCGGGTGTCTGGCCTGTCGAAGCGGGGAACGGTCTCGGGGCTGATCCTGCTGCTTGTTCTTGCTTTTACCCTTGCCTTTGTCCGGCCGATTCCTTAGCCAGGATGGCAGTCGGGACCCTTGTCTCCTCATCGTCGCATCCGTCTTCCATTGCCTCATTTCTACAGACCCGCCTTGTGCAATTTAGAAGCCCACAGCTGCTTCCGCTCTTCACTGAGGTAGGTCTCCGCTTGGTAGACCCAATCGTTCCTTGTGCGGCAGCGAGCGAGGCTGCGACACGCCGCTTGTAGGTGAGTGTAGTTTGCCCTCCTGGGGTCTGTTTCCAGGAACTGCTCCTCCAAAATTGGTTTCCACGAATCCTCAAGTTTGATTCGCACCTGGAGGGTCAATTTCTCCGGCTGCTCGTCCTCCGGCCGGTCTTGTGAGGATGAGGACGCCGTTGTTCCACCCTCAGCTCTGCGAGGCCGAGGCCTCTCTCTTTACCCTCAGCGATGTCGCAAGCACGCGGCACCGCGAGGCCGAATTACACTCCCTCAGCAAGGCGAGGCCTTAACACCAATCGCTATTCCCCGTTGCGAGGCCCTCACCCTCAGCTACGAGGCCGAAAACCCTGTCTCCTTGCACCAAACGGCTACGGAATTACTGCGTTCCCTCAGCTTGGCGAGGCCTAACAAACAATGACATCTTCTGCTGTGCACTGGCTTGGGGCTTAGCTTTGGCGTGTTTCCCACCAAACTGAACGCGAGGCTGTTGAAACTGGACGCTGCTCATATTTCCACCGTTGACAAGGGTTTGCGCTTGGGTTGCCAGCTTGCCCTGAGAAGTTCGCGATTTGCACTCACCCGCCAGGCTTTTATTGCACTTCTGGCTGACCGGTGCATGTGTTCTGTCACACTTTGTGCAAACCCATCGGATTCCCAAATTCACCATATTATGGGAGGGGTGGATACCCCACTCTTCCCGCACTCGCGCCTCCGGCTGGTTGACGCAGTACTGCTCCAATACCTCCTCCAAGTTCGTGAGGGTTTGTTGTACATACAAACCGCACAGTTGGCATTTCAGTGTTAAATTCCGGGGGTGTTCACTGCCCTTCTCCCAGTGGTGCCCTCGCTCCGGGTTTTCGAGCAACTGCCAAAGCCGCTGGCGTTTGTTGAGTTTGGCCCTGCCATGCTCTTTTCTGCATCCCTCAGCTTTCTGCGAGGCTTCCATCTTCTCCTTGTAATGCGCATGGTCCAGGATGAAGGGGAAATCTGCTTCGTTGCGCCTCCGCAATATGTGGGCTGCGCGTTCTCCGTAAGCCAGTGAAAGTGTACGCACCACGTTGTCCAGCTCTTTGACACGCCTGCGCTGGGCTGTAAGCAGCCGCCGCTACTTCGCCACATACTTTGTCCGCCATGTCGTTCGCTGCACGTCTCCACAACGTGCCCGGGCCCATTTTTTCCAGGAATGCTTCTTCTGTTTTGTGGGACGGGACCCATGTTGCTTTGATTCGTTTCTTTCCATTCCACACTTTGCTCCATTCCAGGTCATCGTCCGGCGGTTGTATTTTTTGTAGCGCTTGGACTGCCGGCTTGCAGTCCATTGTGACGTCAATCAGATCCTCCGTGTGCTCCATTAGTCTGAAAAGTGCACGGCGCTCCATGTCCACTACCGGCTGCCACGGGTAGACCAGCTCCGTAATTTGTCCGACTTTCACCAACTCACCATCTTTCCAGTTCATAGCCACCACTGCGAGGGCTGATGTTTGTACACGTGGGTCTATTCCTCCTGGACCTCCGCTGGCGTCAGTGGCGAAGATCAAGCCTTCTGCTTCCACTGTAGCGTCTGCTGCAAAGCATCCTTGGTAGCGCAGTCCCAAGAGATGCTCCGGCGGCTTGGGGTGCCACACCGCCGGCTTGGGCAGGAGTGCCCTTGTCCACAGGCACTCCCATGGGTATTTGTGGCGCAGGTATTCCTGGAGCTTGGGTTCTTTGAACCCTTGGTCTCGCCAGTAAGGGCATTCTTTGAGGACATGCTCCAGAGTGGCTGGCACTTGGCACTTCTTGCACCAGCCAGGCTTGGACTCCGTGATAACGCCCGCATGCCACACTGACTTCATCCCTTCCATAAGGCCCGGGCTTAAGCCTCCCAGCTTCGTCAGCTTGTGATGCGGCGTCCAATCCAGCCCCTCCTGGGCCCCCTTTCCACCTGCTTGTCGCGTTATTGCAGCCCTTTTTTGTTCCTCGAGGAATCCCTCAAGCCATTTGTAGGCGAGGCCACCCATGCGTGGCTGGGTCCAATCGACGTTGAGGACATTTCCTCTCTTCCATTTGCCCGGGTCACTTGCATCCACCTTCAAATCCATTAAGTACGCCATGGTTGCTGCCATCGGTCCCGTGACCAGTGGCCAGTGGTGTTTGGCCGCACTTAACCTCCTCCAAGTGGCTTTCCAGGCCAATTCAAAGTGGGCTTTGCCTCCACCAATCCATGCGCTGAAAACTTTTGCCACCACCTTGAAATGCTGCTTGTGGATTGTGCGCTTCGGGTCCTGACATTTCTTGGCTCCCATATCCAGTATGGTTTCCAAACTACCAAGCTTGTATTTGCCCAGGTGTTTGCCCACCACTGTTCGGAGCCACTTCATTCTTTTGGGCGATACCCCCACGGATGGGTGCCCCCACAAAGCAACGGATGTGATCGCGGCCTTGACTACGCGGAGTTTAGTGCTGGGCGGCGGCCCCAGCCTGGACAGCTTGCTCTGTCGGGCATGTGCTTTTTTTGCCCGTGTGGCCGACGTCACCAAACGACGCTTTCGCCCACCGGTACTGTCGACGCCCAAGTCCCGCATCACGTCGTACACTTGTGGCTCATGCGGTAACAGTAGTTCTCGCAGGTGCTTGCTCGCCTGGGTACTGCTGGCTACAAACCCTGTCTTCTTGGATGAAATCGTGAACCCATTTGCGTCCATCCCGTCCTTTAAGCTGCGGTAGACTCGGATCGCACTGTCTGCCGCTTGTTTGAAGGATTTATGCTGGACGTCAATTGAGACATCATCCAACCAGCAGTCCACATTTGCCACATCTTTGCGCTTTTGGATCTTGTCAATCGTCTGACGCAATGCCACTTTCGCTAATGACGGCGCCGCAGGGCACCCCGCTTGCACTCCATTCGTAGCTCTGATGCCTGCCGATAGCACCCCATCTGCTGCCAAGTATCTGGCACCCATGTACACTTCCAGTGCCATTTTCAGGATTAGCGGTGGCCGTTGCTGCCGCTATCAGTTGCTGAAACTGGATGGTATCGAAAAAGGACTCAAGGTCCACAAATAGCGACACCACATGCACACCATTTGTCTTCGCCGCCTCGTTTCGCAACAGTCTGCCTACAGCCACGTCCAGGCAGCAACTGCCTGGGACCGCCTTGTCGTACTTGGCATTTTTTGCGTAACTCACCTGCCAAGTACTTACCAAATCCCATCGCAATCGGACCCAGGTTCGGTACAGGATGTGCAACAAGGCGATTGGTCTCTCCCGGGTCAGATTCTTAGGCAGCATTGCAATAAGTGAGACTGTCATTTGTTTCGGCCATGTTGCTTTGGCCTCACACTCATGGTAGAAAGCCACTACCGCTTCGACCGCTTTGTCGTCCATGGCCTGCAAATGGTCGATCCGCCATCCATCCGGCCCCGGGCTCTTTAGGGCCAATTTCTTGATCCTTGCCTTGACCTCTTCAGGATTCAGCGGCTCCACGCTGGCCGCCTGTTTTTTGGCTGCATCCTCAAGCTCCAGCATGAGCGAGGCCGTTTGTGCCATCGGTGTGCCCTTCGTCCACACCGCCGCCCAGTGGTCACGTCGAATGTGTGGCCGTTCCAGCATGTCATATTCCATGTAGGGTCTCTGTACCACTTGTTCGTCTTTCCGCAAGGCATTGTACAGCGGTCGCATGCCCTTTTCCATGGCCTTGCTGAGCCTTTGCTTGTACTGGTGGGCCGTCTCCTCTATGTCTGCCTTTCTCGCGTAGCATTGCTGTTCATCAATGCGCTTTAGGACAAGTCTGGCGTCTGTGCCTCGTCCCAGGATACTCACAAGCATATCCTCCCGGCTCTGCGCATCGCCCTCATAGTACACATTGAGTCTACTTTGGACTAGGCGCGCCACCGGATGCGCGTCTCCATGATGTCTGCCTTGCTTGACCCATTGTTGGACACGGTTCCAAAAAGCTGCCCTCTTGCCTGTCCAGACAACGTTCTCCGGGTTGTGGACCACCAATTTCTTCCGGACGATTTCAGCTTTGACACCCATACCGTCGATTCGTCCTGTGATCGACCTCTCCACACTTACACTCAGGTGAGCGAATTTCTCACTGAGTTCATCTTCCATCCTGGGTTCATCCAAGATGTGGATGGTCTGTGTGTTTTTAACCGGTGTGTATTCCACGGTTTCCGTTACCAGTGCTCCCGCCTTCTTCATTTGGGGAACATCAGGGCTACTGCACGGTTGGGCTATCCTCCAATGCATCGCAGCATGAGGCCGAAAAGGGGTTTCCCAATCCGTTTTCACTTGCAGGATGGGCACCAAGCATTTCGCAACCAGCCCATAATCGATTTCGTCCGATCCTTGGGCCGTTGGTTCCCCCACTCCCACAAGTGCACCACCAACTTCTGTCGCCAGAGTTGTGCCCCTCATGGTATCCTGGGTTTCATTCCAATCACCCAGCACCATATATGGCACTTTGCAGCCCTTGAGAAAGGCTATCAGTCTCGCCAGTACTTGGGTATTGTTTGGAGCCTGGAATCCGACCCCGCTCTCCAAATACAGACTGACGATGATCAAATCCCAGCCTTTGTTTCTCATGGCACATGCCAGGAAGCCCGCCGGTCCTGAACCATACTCGGTAAGGTATCGCAGGTTCCTATGTCGGGGTGCCACCACTGCCAGGCCTCCTTGTACACCCTTAATTTTGGTACTGCCAGGCATGCCAATGAAGGTATATCCCATATCTTGGCAATGGCTCATGGCTTGCTGGATACCCTCCGTCTTGAGATGGGTTTCCTGCAGCACCACCAGGTCCGGTCCTAGTTCGTGTATCCATGCCGCTATGGGTTTCCTCCAGCTGGTGATGTTAGCCGCTGTGATTTTGATACATTCGGCCTTATCACCTTGGCGATACCCACTTGCCACATCTTCCAAGATCCATTTGGCATATTGTGCGTCCTGCTCCACAAAGGAACGAAGCACTTCGTGGCATGCTCGTTGTTGTAGCGGGTTTAGTTCCTGCTCTTCCAGCTTCTCAATGGCTTCGAGTGCGGCAGCCTCACTGGAAGCATCATATCTACCCACCACTTGGCATAGCATTTGCCACTCCTGTGGCAGATCTTTTGGTGGTTCCTTGGGTTTTGCTTTCCGCTTCTTGGGCTTTTGTTTTCCTCTGTGACCCTCAGCACACGGCGAGGCCGAAAACCGTATTTCCTCAGCTTCCTGCGAGGCCTTCATGTTCTCCCCTCTGACCGCTGCATGGTCTCTCATCTGTGTTTGACTTCCCTCAGCTTCTCGCGAGGCCGAATGCTCACATTCCTCTTCGAGGTCTTCCCTTGTCATATGGAAGTATCTGGGCCCTGTGACCGCCCAACTGCTTTCTACAGCTCGGACAGGATTAGGACCTTTCGTAACTGGACTCCAGCGCTCTTGGCTGTCCTCCACTGTGCTGTTTGTACTAGGCACATGGGTACTAGACACAGCTTGACTGCCTTCCCCATGTGCCTGCGGCCATACAATGTCCCCGTGACACTGCTGCTGGCCACCACCAAAAGTGTAAACAGAGTCTCCCCATTGAGACTCCTCGGGTTTTCCTTTCTTCTTTTGGCTGTTCGGACCAGAAGCTGCTCTGAGGTGTCGGCCCCTCCGCTCCTGTCCCAGCCTGAGGTTTCATTCGCCATGGGCACGCGCCGGCGAGCGTTCGCGCCCCGTCGGCGTTGCCCTGACTGACACATCTCGAGACATGCGCATCGGACCATACATGCCAATTTCGACTGGCATGCCTGGCTCTCTTGGTCCCAAGACTCCACTCCAGTCTGTCTCCACGACCTTGACTGCCATCTTCGTTTTGAGCGCCTCCGCTTGCTCCTCGGACAGGATGATCCCTTCCTTTTCCAGGTATGACGCGACGTCCTTGTACGGCGAGTCCTCTTCATCTTTCACACAGGCTTGTACCTTCCTCTGTGCTTCCGCAACCTCAAGCTCCGTGGCCTGGATGGCCTGGCTGACTTGCGCAAGCTGCTTCATGGCCTGCTCGAACTCGCTCTTGATCTTTTCCGTTTTGTCTTGAAGCCGGACCTTCTTCTCAATGAGTGATCTCAGCTTGTTTGTCGTCCTTCTGTCTGTATGTACCAACATGGCGGCTGAGCTCCTGCTTTGGCGTCTCGTCCTCAGGCTTGTAGTCCCCTGGCGGGGGAATACCCGCTGCTCTGAGCAGCCTTTGCACTGCGGGCTCAGCTCCTTGCCACACCGTTTCAATGGCCGCGTGGTACTCCTTTTGCGTCATGCTTTCAACTTGCGATCCACTGCCTGGTAGTCCCGGGGGCCATATGGGCCCCGGCTCCATCGTCTGCGGCTTCCATCCTGCTTCTTCGATGGCCTTCTTTGCCTCCATAGAAAGCGTTCCCCACGCCTTCGTGAGGGCCTGGTCGGCCATCCCTTCTTTGTTCTTGGCCTGTCTTGTCCACCATGCAGCGTCTTCTTTGGGCCATTGCCACCTCTTACGCTGGCTTGGCCATGCCTTCTCGCGGTGGTTGGTCTTTTTTCACGCCTTTCCGCAATGCCAGCAGTTCGGGTTGTAGTACAGTTCTGCATTCCAGACCCAGCCCACCTCACAGTGGGCACACACAGTGCAATGCTTCCCCATGACTGCTGCACGCCTGATGCCAGTCCCACCAGCACCTCAGCGAAGCGAGGCCGGAAATTCCCTCAACCGCAGTGAGGCCGAACTTTATGTGTCCTCAGCCGGGGCGAGGCCGAAGCTGGCCACTCCCTCTGCCGAAGCGAGGCCGAAAACACACCCTCTGCCGAAGCGAGGCCGGAAAGTTCCCTCAGCACTTGGCGAGGCCGTACTCAGGCAGCTATGTTGCTTGCAGCCAACTACCAAGCAAACACAGTGGTTTCGGTTTGAGTCCTGTTGGAGCCCACCCTTAGGTACAGTCTCCAGGCAACAGCACTCCCTACCTGAGCACCCCACCGGGGTTGAGCCGAAACCTTGAGCCAGGTGAATTTTACGTCTGCACGCTGCTTGGCGTAGCCACCCGAAGGGGCTGGGGTATCAGGGTGAAACTTACAAACTCTGCACAGTGAGACTACCGGTACTAGCCCTCACTTCCCTCAGACATTTGTCGAGGCCGAAATCCATTCCCTCAGACCGTGGTCGAGGCCGAAATTCCCTCAGGTCATGCCGAGGCCGAACTTCCCTCTCTTGCACCCCTCAGACCGAAGTCGAGGCCGAAACTCCTCAGGCAGCACGCCGAGGCGGTATTTTGATTCGGTTTGTTGGTGCCTCTCTGACCACTATCCATGTTACTTGTCTGTTCTGCGCTGCTCACTCATCAGCTTCGTCATACGGCATGCCCAACGTGATTTTCTGGATCTCTGTTGCCGGAACCGAAAGTAGGGTTCCATCCCATCCTCGTTTTGCAATCCCGGCATCCAGCAGGTGCTGGGCAAATGGCCCGACATTGCCTACGCACGCCATCCAAAGCGCGCTGGCCTTGCCGTCGTACGTTCTGACCAATCCACGTATGGTTGCCAGTAGCTCCTCATCATATTTCTCCAGGAGGCGTACGAGGCCGCATGATATCTTGTATCTCTCCTCCTGCAGCGTCGTCCATTCCGCCGTGTCAAAGAACACTGCCCGTGGTAGCGATCCTGACATTGGGTCGCGCCCAACGTTGCTCACCGTGATATCCGATAGAGCAACTCCTTGCATGGTCAGCCATGACGTTATAGCCACCAGGTAAAACAGGGACTGTCTGAGGACCCCGGCTTCATGGCGATGTTCCTGCCACCATGTGTTGAACAGCTCTGCCCTGCGGATGATACTTCCATAGAAGTAGTGGTGGCAGTAACCCTCCACCGCTTCGTCGAAAAGGACTCCAATCCATCCTGCCCACAGGGTCCTGGTGACCAGGGTGGGGAATTGTTCCCCATACCCTGCTTCGTTGCCAAAGCTCTGGGGTTCCATCGCTAGTTTCATGACCCATAGCCGATCCAGAGCATATCCCCGTCGAGTGCGCCCCGCACCTATAAAGGGAAGCACCCTAGGCTGTAAGCTTTGCCCTGTCGTTGGGTTGCGGACCAATTGGACCTCCCCAAGCCAATGGAGCGCTGTCCTTGGCCTTTGCTGGTTCTGCAGTTTATGCACCAAAAGGTGCGCAGGCTTGACTTGCCCCATGGCTTCCTTTTTCTCCTTTCCCTCAGCTTCCTGCGAGGCCATATTGTGGGCACCTGGCCCTTCCGCCAGCGTGACTGTACGAGGCTGGCTTGCCTCTTGCTCTTCATTGACACCCTCAGCTTGATGCGAGGCCGTACTGTCTTCTCCTCTCTCCCGTAGGCGTACCGGACCCACCGGGGATTCCGAAGCTCTCTCCTCTTCACTATCCCAAGGCTGCTCCGGGTGTCTGGCCTGTCGAAGCGGGGAACGTTCACGGGGCTGATCCTTCTGCTTGTTCTTGCTTTTGCCCTTGCCTTTGTCCGGCCGATTCCTTAACCAGGATGGCAGTCGGGACCCTTGTCTTCTCATCGTAGCATCCGTCTTCCATTGCCTCATTGCTACAGGCCC